CTTGTAAAATGCATGAGAGCATTTATTGCTGTAATATTTATACCTACGGAGAGCAAAGAAGCACCTCTTATTGCTCATGCTGAAAGACATGGGTATCATCACCCCATGTGCACAGACATCAGACCCACACACCCCGCTGTGTATTGTCCTACCAGGGATCCAACAATGATTTGAGTAGCCAAGCGAAAGCCTGCCTGTGGCTATGACCTGCCTTTTCTCGTGGATGCAAGTATCCTTTGTATGCTCTTGCAGAAGTTTTCTCCATTGAGGATGACCAGCAAATGCTTGTGTCCATTCTTCTAAATGACACCCCACCCCTCCGCATTTTTAGGTTCATAACTTCATGGAAGTCTGCTGGGAGAAGTGTGTGGAGAAACCAGGCTCCAAGCTGGACTCCAGGACCGAAACCTGCCTAGCCAATTGCGTCAACCGCTTCGTAGACACGACACTGTCCGTCACCAATCGCTTTGCGCAGATTCTGCAGAAAGGAGGACACGGATAGTCCATCAGAGGTCCGCTCGGGTCCACGGATATAGCGGAGCGGTCTCTCAAGACCCTGACCTGCTCACAAATTCTACCTCAGTGCAGAAATGGCCAGCCGGTCCCTTTCGTGGATCTATCACCTCTCCTGAGTGGCACTGAACCAGGTCAAAGCTCTTGATTTACAGGCAGACTAATCAACTGGGAAGAGTATCCTAAACAAGTGGACTGCCTGTCAGAAAATCTGGTTTTTTTTCTTTTTTTCTTTTCCAGTGGCAGGATAATCAGCATAAGATAGCTTGTTCGTGAAAATTCAAAATCTAAAGTACTTCCTTGTTAGGAAATAATTGAAGTGTTTGCAACTCAATGCTGAAATAATTTTGTTTTGTACTTTATTCACCAGCCCAGGGACAACTCTTGTTCACTGCCTGTGTAATGCTCCTTTCTCTGCATCTTTACACCTGCATGGTTTAAAAAAAGTGGTTCACTGCAGAAGCAATGTTAAAATCCAGTTATCAGTAAAAAAATGTGATTACAGTTCAAATGCAAGTCCATTCATATTCCTCAGCTTGGAATTCTTTACCAGTTTAACTTGGCTTATCAGGGAGTAAATTTCTACTGAAATTACTAATACATATTCCTATGTAGGCCTTTTCGGGGGTTTGCTTGACTACTCCATTAATGGCTGTTTTGTAATACATGTTTGTTCTGTGAATATGTTTGCATTCAAGCCTAATTCTGTGGAGGCAACAGAGAAAACAGTTAGGACAAATACAGTGGTGCCTC